TTAAATTTTAACAGAAGAATATTAATTKAATACTTCTWAGTAGTTGACCATGTACAGTGATGTGAAAAAATAATATATTTGCTAACGATGCTCTATTTAAGAGTTTGAAAATGACTATAGTACTGATCATGCAAAGAGTTAAACAAACAAAATKTACATTTAGTATAAAAATATTTGAAAAAAAATTTTAAAATATTATATTATAATATGATTTATACAACACTATACATAGAATAAAAATAGAGGTAAGTATGCGCTTCTATAAATTTTCCGAYGGTACCGGCTTTATTTATTTTTCACTTTTATATTTCATGGTACGCAATGATAATTATCCATTGGTTTCTATCCTCTGAAATACTTATTTTGTCAACTTGAGAAAGCCCATAAACATCTATTTTGGGCTCCTACCGAGTTTCCCTTAACTATTGATTTTCTATACAAAATAATATTCTTWATAGAAGAGGTAATAGTTACATATTCGACTAACCTATATTTATTTTTATTAAGTTAATCCACTCTTATATCATAATCAAAGATGTGATACAGCAAAGYGAACTCCTGTTATTTGCTGACGATATAAAACTCTTTCTCCGCATCGACACCACTGATGATTGTAAACTCTTACAACATGATCTTGATGCTGTTGCTTACTGGGCCTGGGGACTAGGCTTAGCATCCCTAAATGTCATATCATGACCTACACTCGTTCTAATGAGCGTGTCATGTTTACCTACACCATCAATGACGTTGTGCTAAAGCAGCCAGGTGACTATGTTATTGACCTTGGCATTAATTTTGATCGATCGCTTACTTTTCGGACTCATATTGAGAAAGTTACTTGTAAAGCCTTGAAGCTTCTCGGATTTGTAAAAAGAATTTCGGCTGAATTTAAGCTGTCTAGCTCTCTTAAGACATTATATCGCTCTTTTGTTCGGTCTGTGTTAGAGTATGGAGTAATTATTTGGGATCCTAGTACACTTGATGGTTGTAGCCAACTAGAACGAGTTCAACGTAAATTTTTGAAATTTGCTGCTTTCGCATTACACATTGAATGTCAACCTCACGAGTGCCTCCGTTTGTCTACCCTATGTGAAAGGAGAAAACAGGCTAATCTTAATTTTCTTACTAAGCTTAAAAATAGTGAAGTTGAATCCCCTGCCCTCCTATATAAACTTAATTTCAGAGTTCCTAATTTTACTCCAGATACTATCCTTCCCTTTCCAAATTCCTCTTAGCCGCTGTAACTGTCAAAAAAATCTTCCTATTGTCCGTATGACGAAACTAGCCAACGAGGACCCACTATTCCTGAGTTCTTGGCATTAGATTTATTGTCTGTTCGTTCTATATCATAATATTCTATATTTTATATTTTTTTGACTTGTATAAAATTTTATTAGTTAATATTTTATTAAGTCTGTTCGCTCTATATCTTATATTTTATATTTGTATTTTGTATGTATGTAACTCTCTTAGTATTATGGTTACTATTATATGTAATTGGGCACGTCCCGTTTTTCACTCAATAAATAAATAAATAATATTAAAAATAATAAACAGTAAAATGTAGAATATAAAGAATAAACTTCAATATTAATCAAAGATAACATGTAATATATTAAGCACTCTTTTTTTTCCTGTTAAAAACCCAGGAACTTGGTGGAATATTATGTAAATATTATTAAAATTCTGTTAAAACGTAATGTACATTCACACACGCACATACAGATATATCTACTTTGACAAAATATTTCATATATGTATCACATACCTATTTAATTTAGTTTTATGAAAAATAAACCTTTAATTTCTGTTAATAATGTTTTATCTATATAATTAGAAATAATTAAAATCTAAATTAAAAATAGTATTACATTATATTTTATTCTTAAAAGTTTATGTTTGGTCATGTCATCTTATATTATGATGCAATATTATAAACGCAATTATATTTAATTAATAATCTTTTATTTATATTGCAAATAATTTGTTTGACATTATTTATGTATTTGAATAAAGTAATATTATACTTTATGGCTGATACCAAATGTCACACCATGAAAAAAAAAATACGCATTCATGTACCTATATTGCCTATACGTTGCGCCGCAACATAATTAACAGCTGTCTCAAATTATAATGAACTGATTTAAATTTACTAGAAGGTTTTAAATACCAGATTAAATTAATTTATATTCATACAAATAATTATGTCCAACGTACTACATAGTTATTTCAATAGTTGGTTGGGAAAGTCAAGTATCTATGGTTATTTTATGAACTAAATCAAAATAAAGCTATCTCATTATAAATAGGAATGCTGACATCGAAATAAAAATTTTTTCCTACCAGAACTCTTGACAAATAACACTTTCCAAGGAGTGATAATAGAAAAATCAGCATCGTAAATTCAATTACATATTTTTTTTCTTCTTAAAATTKAATCTAAATTTAGAGTTTTGATATTAAAATAAACGATTACTTTTATTCACGTTAATTTATTTAATGTTTAGTTATTATGTATTACTACTTAATGTAAAATTGTTAATTTAATGGTATTATAAAAAGATCTGTTTTGCTATCTAGAAATCATAATATATAATCATACTTTTCTTATCAATTGGTACAATTTGGTAATCTAAAATGAAGGTCAACAACTAAAAAGTGACATAAGTATTTAGGTTGAGCTTTTTATTTGTATTGACAGAAAATAACCAAAGTAGCTTTATATAACTCCTCAACAGAAACTGTAAAAACGCCGTAAATATGTTTTAAAGAAAAAAACCAAAATTTGAAATACACGACGGTGTTACTGTATTCAGGGTGTTAAAGTTTCGTTTTGGAACTATTGTCCGCTAACGTCGACCTCGAGGGCAGAGGAGARATAACAGGGCAGGTCGATATTATTGTTATCGTTCCATAAATTTCCCGGTGTTTTTAATAACGTGCTCTGGGTCCCTAAGTCTTTTTCCGCTAGCACCACCACCATCACTTCTACCGTCTCCACCATCACTATCACGGACTAAACTTTCCTTATGAAACTCGTAAAACATTTTGTCCATTGCTGTATTCACCATGTACTCGATGTTGTCATTGTTTTTGGCTCGAATAAATAACTACTTTCTTCCATCCGAAAACTAAAATAATAACGCGTTAAACCCTATTGTCGAGAAAAGAAATTTTAATTTTAATTTTTACTATTTTGGGGAAAACAATGGATCAAAAATGTGTAAGCTGATCAACGTATCATTAATATGAAGCTAAAATACGAATGGATGCATATAGCATTGAAGTGCTATTCTCATGACAAGTTTTAATTTTTCACTAATAAATATTTACTATAATTTAGTATTTGTGTGTTTTACTCCATTAAAGTATAAATTTCGTATATATTTTAATATAATATTACAATATTATAACCTAAATTTTAAATTTGGCGATCATTTTTTAAAACAGACTGACTGAGTATTATTTTATTTTTTAGTACCGCTCCTGTCCATCCACATTTAAATATTATAAAGAAATGTATGATATTTGCACAACTGTTATAATATATTATTGACCATGCCAATTATTATATGTATCTACACGTCAATAGCTATTGAAAGGTCACAAACTATAATTTATCGTTATTGTTGATGTAAAAGTGTTAATATCACAATATCCTAAAACGTTATAAACGTTATAAGTAATATATTTTAAATTCAACTCTAATTCCTCTCAGACACTATTAGAATGTCTAGACACGTTCTGATAAGCTTATTTAAGTTTAAATATTATTATTTAGAAAAAAAAAAACGTTATTTTTATAAAAGTAATACGGTGCTAATACATAACGTGACATTTTATAATATTATACTAACTATATAATCCGACTTTGCTCGGGAAAAATGAACAAATTTAATATAATAGGTGCTATATATTGGTGTACTTCGCATTGTTAACTAAATATACCAAGAAGGACAATACTCTGTGTAGAATTGGATAAACCATTTAAAAAATTTTTTAATATGGTATAAGTCATAGATAGATAGAGTTCCCAGATATATTTAAAAAACATTTCTGAAATTATCATCAGTTGTTATTGAGTCTATTATCCACAAACAAACAAACAATAACCAATACCATCGCTATATATTATATTATATATATCTTATTACGCAAAAAAATATTCAGATTTTCCTAATAAAAATAAAAATGTACGCGTGTGCAACTTTATACCAACCTATATGGGTTAAAAAATGACATAACCCGGAAGATTAAAAAATATGGGTTTAAAATTTGGAGCCAATTGCATCTGTATATTTTCAAAGTTTATGTGCCCTGGTTTACACAAGTGCAGTTGGACTTGAAAGAAAATTGTTTGAACATCGGAAATATTTRATGTTTAATAACTATTTAGAGATTTCTTCAAGTCCAGTATTTACACAGATTAACTCGTCGTTTAGATGCATTGTGTTAAGATGTTTATTTTTTAAATGTTACGTGTTTAAAATTTGATAAAAACTTAATAAACTCAAATTTATCAGTTTTTAAAATCTTTTGTCTACTAATTTATATATCTTGTTGTTTTTTTTGTTTATGATATAGTTAAATTTAAAAAATATATTTCTAGTCATTAACAAATGTGATCTTATGTACATGAATAACTTATTACATGTAATACATATTGTATGTGTTTTAAAATAGGTATTTTACAATTTTCACATATAATTGTTTTTTATCATCAACATTCCCTCTCTCTATGTAGATTTTTTCTAAAACATTTTTTTGACTTGGGGGGCCCAAAAAAATTGTACACTTGGTCCTAATTATATTAAATCAAGTTCTGGTGCCTTATTCAAACGTATATTAATTTGTATACATATAGATTTTAAACTAGGTAGTGACATATTGTAAAACTTTTACATGCTAACCACAATACAACTTTGAAAAATATTAATAGCTTTAACCTTAATAATAATAATAAAACAAATTTAAAATTTGAATAATTCAATTCTCACCTGTTTTCCGTCCCATCTCTTATATGGTTTCCATTCCGCCAAACCGGGCCTCCAGTACTCCAATGTGTACTCTTCGGCATACTCGAGTCCACGCCCATGACCAAATCGCCCCTGAGTTTGCACTCCCGTGATCATGTGCACTTTGTCAAAGTTCACTTGCAACCACTCGCGGACGCCTTGTTCTACCGGTGGCTTGGGGCACCAACCACCACCAGCTCGTTCGACTTTTAACCTGTGGAYAGATCAGACATTTGATATTAATATATTTATATGCTGTATATTTTCATGTATGGGTGTATGTATAATATGTGTATATATAATATATAATATACTATAGGTATCGTAAAATGGTTACCGATAGCAACGTGAGGTGGCTTTGTAGTAATAATACAATTTTTCACACATAAACCATAATAATATGTACCTAATGCAGTAATGAAACATTCAAAGTTGTAATCGTTATCAGTTTGGATACGGACAATATACAAATCAAAATGAACACTTTTTCACTTTTAAAAAATCGATTCCTTTCATCTGTTAAAAAATATATTCTAAGAAAAAAAACATAATTATTATAGTATTCATAGTATTCATAATACTTATCTATAATATCATTTTGAAAATTGATATAGTACAGAATAGTCATAGTCAATATTATAATGATATAATTATACGTTTTCCATAGGTACTAAATTAAATATTAAAATATAATTATTATAATATGCTACACCAGCGTTCGTGTTTAGTATAATTTTCTTGGAGGAGCAAATACTATATGATTGATACTTTCGACGATTAATTATTGACATGGGAAATAAATTATCGTTTATTTTATTTTATTATTAGCATTTACAATATATATTTTGTAACGTTATGCGTGACTTTTACTATATTATAATATATGTGATTGTATTTTTTTTTTTATTAAATGGATAATATTTTTTTCATATAATAATGGATCAAACTTTCTCTTAGTTTTTAGTTTATACAATAAGAACTGTCTAATCCATATCCAAGTGTTTTGTGTTAAAGTTTTTTTTATTAAAAATGTCCAGTGATTTCAAAACTGTTTTGTTATTTTCTTTAGTTAATTATTCATTATTTATGTACACAAATGTTTATTATATTACTTATTAAACGATTCAATAATTTGAAATTAATTAAGTATTGACAAAGGTGTATAAGTAATAAATATCGCAATGTTCGTTAAACACGATATATAGACAGATAATTCTTTTATAACTGAAAGTATTTTCGTTACAATTTTTTGAATGTCGCCAAACACAACTTTTGAATAAAACAAGTTTAAATTAAATTTATGTGCAAATAAGTAGTAGCGATTAGTAAAACCGTCAGTCGGACCGTGACTTCAAACCAACGTACATCGTTTTATACCCACTTGAAGAATTTAATGAAACGTTGTTTTTGTTATTCTTCTTGAGAATTATTCAGTTTGCGATAATTGTTTGGATTAAAAATTGCTACTTTAATTAAACTTTCTCGGTATACCTACCCCTTAACCGACTATAACGGTTAACAGTTTTTTCGACCCTTTTGTCGTCGGACAAACAATCGACAAACTATTATGTGGATCACACAAAGAGAACTATCACAGTGACAGATGTATTGCTGTTAGAACATTCTTCCAATAATATCCCGTACAGCTCCTTTCATTGAATTTATTGCGAATTAAACCGAATATTAATCAGCTTATCGTGATATTATATCCCGTATAATTAAATTATTTCTAATTAAATTATTTTAGCAGTTATATCCGAACCTCCGCTGTGGTATTCATTGTAATAATAATACGCAGCCAACCGACTGTTGGTCGATTTTGTCAAAAAGTTTTTCAGCGAACGCACAAAAATAACCAAACGCACGTAATTTGCACATCAAGGTAGCATGTAATAATTCAATAAATTCTTTGGCGTGTATCAAATTCCATGGGCATATTACACGGAGTAATTATACTATTTTATGCATGCTTTGGAAATTTAAAACATATATACCATTTATGAGTAGTGAAAATCGGTGAAATTGTGTGGTTTCATAACTAATGTATATTATGTCGCTTAAAATTATGAATTGTAATTAAATTAAAAACGCCACTGGAAAATGTCGTGTTATTTTAAATTCTATTTAACTATGTATATAAAACATTTTTCGAATAACACGAAATTTGGCCCAGATAATGAATATTAATTGTAAAAAATATATCTCACTATATAATATGTTGTGTGATTCACTAAAGAATTAAAACGGTTTTTGTGTTCGTATTAAAACAGTCTTTTATATTTTTTTCAATGCACAGCTCACTACTAACAGCTTAAATTTTTTTTCAAATTAATACATTATTATATCGTACAAGTAGCATTTATTATGAGTTATACACTTGTACATATTCAAAGTAACTATATTATAATGTTTTCTTTTCAATGAAATGCATTTAACACCAGTAACATAACGGTGTCCATATAACAATGGCATATTATTATGTTAAAACTATTCATTATAATTTGTAGGATATTTAAAACCACATTTTCATCGGGATACCAAACTAAATATAGGTCAGGTTTATTTTCATAAATTCTATAGCAGAGAAGAAAGTTGTCTTCATTGTATGAAGAACAAAAGTATAAAATACAGGCATAAAAAACGACATTGTATTTTGAATACATTACACTGTTTACTAATAATTATAATATTATTCATCTAATTGTTTATAAAACATGAATAATAATAAATTTTATTTATAATTTAAAATCATACGCTAACAATCAAATTTTCTCAAACATTAAAATGTTAAATGTATGTAAAAAAAATATATATWTTATATATATTTTGAATAGATTGTTTCTTTTATAAAAAATTATACAGTTTTTCTAAATGTCACGATATTAACTACCACAAAGTAAACAATTTAAAAGCACAGAAATAGTTTTTGCCTAGTGTATATAAGAATTATATTAAAAACAATTTAATTTATTTCCTTCATTAAATTAAATACTTTAAATTTAAAATTATTTAAAATCAATATTTTTGATGAATATACGTACACGCGATATTTTTTAAGTTATTAGTAAATTTAATTTTAATTTAATCTTATATTTATTTTAAATTTGAACCCGTTTAGTTTTAAAAAATATTGTAAATAAATTTAATGACATATTATATAGATTATATAGGTATAACAAATTAGTCAAAAATACACATTTATAGTATTTTTATTCTAAAATGTATGTCTTTGTTTTTTTTCATTTCTAAATGTATTTAATTTATCACACTTAGTATTATTCACCAAAACTAGTTATAAAGTATTATAATATAAAACACAATGCCCAAGATCCAATTAAGACTCATTATTTATTAATAACAAAAATGAAAATAAAACATTTTTCGTTAAGTTTAAAGTCAAATAAGTTTTAGACGGTGACATTTTAAACTTTAATTTTGTGTGAGTACCTATGATATTATGAACTATAAAAATATGCTCTCGGGTAACTGCTAGTTTCGTGATTATTCACTACAGAGACCCTTTAGAATATGAAGTCCACAATAATTATCATTAAAACTATAATAATTATTGTCTAAACAATGACAAATGGACAACAATTAATTAGTTAATTAACGATTGAATGTAAAGCTTACTGTCAAAAATAAATTAATTTAATTTACAAATATAAAACAAATTACAAGCTCAAAATATATCAATTAAAAATAATAACTTTTATTTACCTTTGTTATGACTTATGATTGACAATGGTGTCATAAAAATTGTTATTTGGAAAAAAAATAAGTAAAATGTGCGTTTCTATAATTTTTTCTGTCTTATATTTTTACAAAAGTAATAAATTATTAAAATATATGTTTTAAACTTGGCTTAATATCATTTATGTTAATGCATTTTTCCTGCATTAAGGTAATTGATATCGACACTTGTCATATTCACGTTGAATGCAGGTATACATTATACTAATATTTCATATAATTTTTCGGCCAATAAATATGTATTTACTATTTTGTACCTTCAAGCTTTATGTTTTTAACGTTGTTTAATTTATATTATAATATTCCTACCATTATTTACAATGTTTAATAATAATATGCATTGAATATACATCATATAATTTATTCATTATACATTATATTAAACGAATAAAAGTTCAAAATTATAAATAAATGATAAAATAATATACTTGAATCCGTCCCAAAACATTTATCTGACTCCTCGTCTCAGTGACGTACCAACACTTTAGTAATTTTCGGCCATCCCTGCCCTGCAATTAGTGCTCATGACCCGACCTCATCTAATCCTAACTTAACCCACGTTTCCGATATTCTCAAGTATAGGTCCCTTGTATAATATATTTTATGTGACACGTTATACTAATATAGCCGATCGCTGTATTATGCTAACTACGCGTCCACGTGTATGCAATATAATAATACAATTATATGTCTGTTAACAATGTTACATTATTATATAATATACAATATTTATAATATATAAGATATGTATATATTTATGACGGGTAGGTAGATGTTGGATTTTTGGACCCGTGCCTTCGCTTATTACACGAGTACGGTACGAATAGAGTACCGACGACAAAATATGTTTTTTTTAACGATCCGTATGGCATGTGCAATATTTTTTAATATTTTATTTAATATTTTCCTTTTTTTTTTTATTTGTAGGACATGATCGCGTACACGCAAATCAGCTATACACTGCATTACACGCTACTGAACTGTACACACTATTATTATGTACATACACGATACAGTCACATATAGGTACGTGTTTTAAATCGAGTTTTCTAAAAACGCTCCTATACTCGTTCATGCCAACTCGATGAGAGGGGGTGACACGGAGATAAAAAGAGTGAGATTGAGGGAAAAGGAATGAAGTGTGAATGAATTTATCTGTCACCAAAAAAAGAATAATATAATGGGATAAGCGCGAGTGTGATCGGAAATTTTTGTAATTTAATTTTAATGCGCTGAATTCGCACAAAACGAATATACCCTGCCGAGTAAAAGTATCAAATAGCATAATTTTGACGTAGAATTTTCACCCGAAGACACACGTGCGACGCACCGCATACATATTATTATTGTATGTACGATCATGCACTACACGCATATTGTCATCATACGCGGAGAATGATTCAATTTTGTTCGTAAAACGCGATGTGACGTGCGCAGTTAGCCATACCATAAACACGATAC